GATGTATAGTACTATATTTATGTACAAATATCATCGTGGGGCTGGAATGATGTGTATTACTGTATTTATGTACAAACATCATCGTGGGGCTGGAATGATGTATAGTACTGTATTTATGTACAAACATCATCGTGGGGCTGGAATGATGTATAGTACTATATTTATGTACAAATATCATCGTGGGGCTGGAATGATGTATATTACTGTATTTATGTACAAACATCATAGTCGGAACTGGAATGATATGTAGTACTGTATTTATGTACAAACATCATAGTGGGGCTGAAATGATGTATAGTACTATATTTAAGTAGAAACATTATAGTGGGGCTGGAATGATGTATAGTACTATATTTATGTACAAACATCATAGTCGGAGCTGGAATGATGTATAGTACTGTATTTATGTACAAACATCATAGTGGAAGCTGGAATGATGTATAGTACTATATTTATGTACAAACAAAGTTGTGGGGCTGAAATGATGTATAGTACTATATTTATGTACAAACATCATAGTGGGAGCTGGAATGATGTATAGTATTGTATTTATGTACAAACATCATAGTGGAAGCTGGAATGATGTATAGTACTTTTTCTTACTATTCTATTATTGTTATTGTGAGCAATCATCTTCTCACTTCTGGCTGAAGACAGTGAAAGGTGGTAAAGATGTGGGACGTTGTGGGCTGCAGACAGTGAAAGGTGGTAAAGATGTGGGACGTTGTGGGCTGCAGATAGCGAAAGGTGTTAAAGACGTGGGACGTTGTGGGCTGCAGACAGTGAAAGATGGTAAAGATATGGGACGTTGTGGGCTGCAGACAGCGAAAGGTGGTAAAGATGTGGGACGTTGTGGGCTTGAGCACCTACACCCGTTCCTTTTCTCTCCTAAGAAGTACTGGCTAAACTGAGGTTTAAATTTGAGTATAGTTATTTTATTATTTATAAAATTATCGAATATATAATTTAAATCCCTGATCAAATCATGTAATATTTAGTATAGTAAAGTCATATATGCCTTTTCTTATACATGCTATCTGCTGTGTCCACCGAGGGGAATCGAACCGCTGATTTTAGCGTTGTAAAGCTGAAGACTTACCACTGTCCCACCGGGGGACAAAGTCATATGTATAAATAGAACTGGTACTTTTTGAAGAATTTATCTAAACATTCCAAACTGGAATTTTATTTTGGATTATCCAACAACAATTATTCTGGTCATTTGAAAACTGTTTTTATCTTTTCAAACAAGAATATTCTTAAGTACTATGTAGACATATTTAATGACATTACTATGTAGACATATTTAATGACTTTACTATGTAGACATATTTAATGACATTACTATGTAGACATATTTAATGACTTTACTATGTAGACAGGTTTAATGACTGTACTATGTAGACATATTTAATGACTGTACTATGTAGACAGATTTAATGACTGTACTATGTAGATATATTTAATGACTGTACTATGTAGACAGATTTAATGACTGTACTATGTAGACATATTTAATGACTGTACTATGTAGACAGATTTAATGACTTTACTATGTAGACAGATTTAATGACTGTACTATGTAGACATATTTAATGGCATTACTATGTAGACATATTTAATGACTGTACTATGTAGACATATTTAATGACTTTACTATGTAGACATATTTAATGACTGTACTATGTAGATAGATTTAATGACTTTACTATGTAGACAGATTTAATGACTGTACTATGTAGTCATATTTAATAACTGTACTATGTAGACATATTTAATGAATGTACTATGTAGACAGATTTAATGACTTTACTATGTAGATAGGTTTAATGACTGTACTATGTAGTCATATTTAATAACTGTACTATGTAGATAGATTTAATGATTGTATTATGTAGACAGATTTAATGACTTTACCATGTAGATAGGTTTAATGACTGTACTATGTAGACAGATTTAATGACTGTACTATGTAGATAGATTTAATGACTGTACTATGTAGACAGATTTCATGACTGTACTATGTAGACATATTTAATGACTGTACTATGTAGACAGATTTCATGACTGTACTATGTAGACAGATTTAATGACTTTAATATGTAGACAGATTTCATGACTGTACTATGTAGACAGATTTAATGACTTTACTATGTAGACAGATTTAATGACTGTACTATGTAGATAGATTTAATGATTGTACTATGTAGACAGATTTAATGACTGTACTATGTAGACATATTTAATGGCTGTACTATGTAGACATATTTAATGACTGTACTATGTAGACATATTTAATGAATGTACTATGTAGACAGATTTAATGACTTTACTATGTAGATAGATTTAATGACTGTATTATGTAGACAGATTTAATGACTTTACCATGTAGATAGGTTTAATGACTGTACTATGTAGACAGATTTAATGACTGTACTATGTAGATAGATTTAATGACTGTACTATGTAGACAGATTTCATGACTGTACTATGTAGACAGATTTCATGACTGTACTATGTAGACATATTTAATGACTGTACTATGTAGATAGATTTCATGACTTTACTATGTAGACAGATTTAATGACTGTACTATGTAGACAGATTTAATGACTGTACTATGTAGACATATTTAATGACTGTACTATGTAGATAGATTTAATGACTGTACTATGTAGATAGATTTAATGACTGTACAATGTAGATAGATTTAATGACTGTACTATGTAGACATATTTAATGACTGTACTATGTAGACATATTTAATGACTGTACTATGTAGACATATTTAATAACTGTACT